AGCATTTTTAATCAAATAATTCAGCGACTCAGTATTTTCGCTTCGCTTTTTTACGTTAGTAGATCAATTAAGAACTCACAAACTTTGTTTACAATGCCGGTATAATCTCACTATAACTAATAACACGTTAGCACAGGTAGGTTATTCACCATTCACTCAAAATTTGTGCTGATTGTTTTGCATGATAACACATGAAGCATGTAAAAGATCATGAATACTCCTAATATTATAATAAATATGGTTTTACTATTTTTACATTATCGTAATATTCATAATCACATATTACTCCTGATATTTTTTTTAAATCGAAAAAAATAAGTATAGAAATGTTTTTAAGACAGCTAATTCTTCCATCACTTCTGTTCTAGGTAATTTTTCTGTTGATTCATCTTCGTTGTTGTCATCAATCATCTTTAGGTTCATCTTTATCAGGGCAGTCGTTTGATTGTTCGGTTAATCAGTCACAATCTATTCTTCGTCAGCTTTTAAAGTTGATGGAATTCGGTTCCGACTTTTTTTTTTTTAATGAGTATTTCTTCCCTCCCCTTTTTTATGTATGTGCAGTTTTGTTGTTCTTACTCCGATTTATTTATTTTTTTGTTTTTGTGAACAACATTTCTGAAGTGAACCCTAATCAATTTTTTTTTTAAATCCAAATAAGTATTGATCCGAGTGAGTACCTATGTAAAACACCCAATTCGCTTGTGTAATTATTTTGTTTTTCAAAAACGAACCTAAATATTTTTTAAAAAACGTGTTGTGAAAAGAAGTTTATTTCCAAAATCGGCTTCTTTTTTTTTTTTTTCAAGGAATGTCATGATACTTGCATTTCCTGCTTAAATAAAATAATCATCAAATACTTCTGAAAATCAACATCTTATTTTAAGACTTCCTTTTCCCTTGTATCAGCTAATTTGATTTTTCCCTCGTAAACTCCGAATTTTTTAATTACGCCATGGCCAATATGTTATTCTGGCGATATATACAGAAAACAAATCCCTTTTGATTTATTTTTTTCTCTAATAAAAATTCAAGGCTATTGAAAAAAACGTATGTGCTTGTATAGGTTATTGATTTTATTCAAAATAAGAAGCCACGATAGTTCGTGATATCTTAATTATTTTCTTACTTTCTTATCGATATAAGCTTTATTAATTGTGAGTCTATTAATTTTATTAAAACTAAACCCAAGAATTTCCATGAAATAGAATAGAATAGAATAGAATAGAAAAATAATTTTATTCTGGGACGAAGTCCCTTCAGAATAACAAAAAAGTACAGAAATTAAAATTTTACATCTGGCCAGATAAAAACAAACATAACAAATTAAGATAATGATAGGTCATTAAAGAAAAGAAAAGAAAAAAAATATTGGTTATACATACTATATACAAAATAAAATATAAAAATCTATATAAAAAACTCTTGAAACCATACTAAGATACTTAAAACTATTTACGATGTTAAAACATAAATAAACCCTTTTAGAAAAAATAAATGTATATTCTTCTTAACAGTAAAATCTGTTTCTGTTGAAACAGAAAAAAAAAAAAAAGAGAAAAAGAAAGTCGAATCTATAATAAGTATTCAGGTCATGAGCTATATGTGAATATGGTCTTATATATAATGTGTAATTTTACATAAAAGATTAGCTGGTGCCTGACTGTTTTTGGGACAGGAATTGGAATAGGAGGGTTTTGAATGTAGATAAGGATGAAGAATGTCGAATTTTGATTGGAAGGGAATTCCAGAAACTAACAGAACGTGCAATAAAGGAGTTTTGGAACGAGGCAGATCTGTGAGAAGGAATGTAAAGGTCGGAAGGTCGAGATCTTGTGGAGAGGGAGTGGACTGAGGACTTGAATTGGAGAAGGTTGTAGGCGTAGGAAGGACGATGATTGTTGATGATATGATAGAGGAATGTACCTAGGAAATATTGTCTTCGAATGGAGGGGAAGAGCCACTCTAACTCAGTGTAATGGTGAGAGGCATGGTAGTATCTCGGGGCACCAATTACAAATCTCATGCAACTGTTCCTTATTCTTTTCAGTCTGTCGCGGAGCTCCACCGAGAGTCCATCATACACCACACAGCAGTAGTCAAAGTGGGGGAAGATGAGAGAGGAAACGAGGAGTCTGCGCGTATGTTGAGGTAGGAGATGGCGGAAGCAATGGAATAGTTTGAGGGTAGAGACTGTCCGTCGGGAGATGTGAGAAATATGGTGACTCCAGGAGAGGGTTTGATCAATAAATAGTCCTAAATTTTTTACAGAGGAGTAAAAGGAGATTGGCTGGTCACCAAGGTTTAGTATGGGAAAGTCCGTATAGGATCTAAGGAGGGGCTTGGAACCAATGACAATGGCCTGAGTTTTTGAAGCATTTAACCTTAATCCGTTTAATTTTGCCCAGGCACAGATTCGATCTAGGTCTGCTTGGATCTTAGTAAATGCTACCAATAGCTCAGGGGGAGAAAAGGATAGGTATATTTGAGAATCGTCTGCATAAAGGTGGTGGGAACAATGGAGAATTGAGTCATGGAGGTCATTGATATAGGAACTAAAAAGGAGAGGAGATATGCTAGATCCTTGGGCGACTCCAGAGGATAAAGGCAGGTAGGCAGATAGTGGTTGATTAGGAATGGAGACTGCTTGGGTGCGTTGTGATAGGAAAGATTGGAACCAAGAGATGGAGCTATTGGAGAAGGAGAGTGATTTTAGTTTGTTGAAAAGGATGGGATGGTTAATGGAATCAAAGGCTTTAGAGAAGTCAAGAAGTATAAGGACAGTTAGTTGTTTATTATCTATTGCAGTCTGAACATCATTAGTAATTTTGATTAAGGCGGATTGTGTGGAGTAGCCGTATACGCACTAATATCTACTTGATCAATTTGTGATTGGCTCATATTTTTTCTTTGATTGTTTTTATCTCATTATATGTGTTTGAGAACATTTTTAACCCAAAATGAATTTAAAAAATACAAAAAATAAAAATTGAACCACAGGTGGATTAAGTAGTTCTTAAGCGGGGGGAAGGTCCGTAGGATTTTCAGCTCCACTGACTGAAAGATCCAATATGGAGAAGTTGTTTGAGAGACTAATTTCGTCTCCCTCAGGCCTAATTTCCACAACTTCATTCACAAGTGGTATTATTCGTTAATTCAATGAACTTGTCAGTTTTGAATGGATGCGATTCACAGTTTTCAGGGTTTATATACATCTCATTCTAAGAAGGTATTAAAATATAGTTGGATTCAAAATTACGTATCTTGATTATTATGTTTAAACTCTCTACGTCCGTGGGAACATTCCGATTAATTTAAATTTTTAGTGATTCAGTTGGCTTTGTTGTGTTCCTTGGCGATTTTGATATTTTGAGAACTTTATTAGAGTATTCCAAGATAAAATAATTCAGGAGTTACATTATTATTATTTATTTTATTTTATTTCAGAAATGTTCTTAAATCAATTTCCACACATCTTACTTTTTTGTTTAATTCTTGGCCATACAATAAAATATTTAAACTTTGATATTCTTTAGAAACTAGCAAGAGATAAGATTGACTAATCTGAAAGTTAAACGTATGTTAACCATAATTTATTACATTTTGACATTAAATATATAATTATTAGTTTCTGTATTGTTTATTTTTACTTATTGTAAGTAGAGTGTGAGTGTGCTCTCTGAACATTATTATAAATGTCCTTGATTGTGACAAAACGTAATATTTCTAAATAAACAAATATAAAAAAAAATATATATAAATCAGATTCTCCACTTATTTTTTGATATGTTATTTATTTGGAAGAGTTATAATGGTTAGTTTTATAATTGCAAGATACTTTTTCCATTGGTATTTTTTTATTTTTGTTCCTTTAGTCCGACGTTCGGTTTTCTGGTCCATATTTTTAGACAATTTATTTTTATTTATTGAATAATAATACACTACAATCAAACAATATTGGAGAGCTATAAGTTATAAGCTATAAGTATTAAGGCTATAAGTTCTTATTCATAAATATATACAAATAATAGAGATAAAAAAAAAATAATACATATAAAAAAAGTAAATAAATAAGAAAAAATAAACAAATAAAATAAAATAAAAATTTCTAAACACATTCATACCTATATACAATACATACATTCCTCAGGAATCTGCGAGCCAGGCTTGGCTTTTTCCCCCCCATGAGGAAGTCAAAGCAGGACTCCAGGAGATCCCAGTGCCACTTCCCGCCGCATCACTAGTATTAGAAGCCAGATCTAATTTATATAATAAAAAAAACTTCTTCAACATCCATCTCATCACTAACAGATTCAGAATTTATTTTTTGGGAGCTTAAGCCTGAACGCTCTTATATATATATATATATATATATATATATATATATATATATATATATATATACAATGATTATTTCTTTAGGGAAAAAGAAAGAAACTAACTACCTATATGAAGTAGTGTTTAAATTATTCTTGACGTCCTATTAAATATAATTACACGAACAATAATACATTTAAAAATAAGTTTTTAATATTTATTTCATAAGACATGGTTGTCTTACCATTTTGGTGGAGAGAGAGGAGGACTTTAGTCCGAAAGCCCCACCCCCCTCCGTAGAGCCGCCTGTGCATCTCATTGTCATACAATACTTGTAAAACAATTTTCTATTGTTTAAAATAAAATACATATATTTTTAAATGTTTGAGATTGATGTCTTTCTCTGTTAGATTGTCTAGAGTATCTGAGTTAAACTGAGGTGGGATTAATAAGTTCAACTCGATGGGAACGTCAAGATTAATTTTTTAGAACTATCTCCTGGAGCCGAATTATTAACTGACCCAGCAAGGAATCGAACCCACACAGTTATGAACCTGTCGCTCCAACTTGCTCGGCCTCGATACATGTACCTTTTTTTCATATTTATTTGGATGTTAAATATCTCGCCATGATTTGAACGGTATCGATAATGCGATACATCAGTATAAATTCCAACCGTCGCCTTATAATCCAACTTTGTGTCTGTAGCATTTCCTTATGTTGACATAGGATCGTCCGTTGCCCGCACAGATCAGACCATCCAGTATATCCGTTGAACTTCCCTCCAGTAGGAGCCTAACTAGACTCAGATTGGATACTCTACCGTTGTCCACTTGAATAGGTCGATGGATTAGACTCGCTATTGGACAATGAGCCTGTATTCAACGATCCCTACAAAAAGACATCCTCAAGAGGAAAAAAGAAAACAAAGAACGCACGTATAGCTGCACATTGGCCAACCGCCTTCCCGCCAGCTCTCTTCCCACTGGGGAAATACGTCTCTTAGCAAAGAAACAAAAACACTTTTCCATCCAATGTGTAGTATTCGTTCCGGAGGATTGGTAATGCAGATGACACTTTTTCCTCGTCATTGTTAGACCAGTATATTTCCCCAGTAATATTTTATTGCAAGCAGTTTATATTGATTGATTAATAGTAATGCTTTTCTAGGGAAGTTGTTTTCATTTTTGGATAGAAAAAAATCTTTAATAAATCGGTTCTTGTTTATGTTTTCTTGATATCCGCATCAAAATCTTTAAAAACAATATTTATCCATCTTCTGTTCATTTTTCCTAAAATTGGTGTCTTGAGGTTTTTTTTTTTTTACATAAAATAGGCCAATATTCACCAACATTTTAATTTATAAGCTATTAATTACTACGTTTCGAACATACTTTTTTTATTATTTTTTTTGATCTATTTATTGAATAATAATACAATCAGCCACTGCTGGAGGGCTAATAAGTATTAGGGCTAAGAGTTCTCATTCAAAAAATATATACAAATAATAGAGAAATAAATATAAATATAAAAAGTAAATAAATAATACTGATGAAGAAAGTAAATAAAAGAAAAAAAAAGTAAACAATAACATAAAATAGAAACTTCTAAACACAATCATACCTATATACAATATATACATTCGCCCAGGAATCTCCGAGCCAGGCTTTTTCCCCCACATGTGGAAGGCAAAGCAAGACTCCAGGAGATCCCAGTGCCACTTTTCCACCCGCATCTCTAATATTAGAAGCCAGTGGAGACTGAAAGAGGGCACTAGAACCACAGACGTGAGTGGAGAAGCTGGCCATTGTCAGGACTCCAGAAGCATATTTACAAGAGATCTCTGGGCCACTGCCGTTTTAACCTTCGTGGAGGATTGTAGGGATGAAGGGAGCTGGATAGGGATTGAGCTAGAGGATTTGGATAATGGATAAGGTTCTGGTGAAAGTTTGAGAATCTGGATGGGATGATGTCGAGGACAAATGGGATGTTAAGGTCATGGTGTAGGGTCTTGTTTGTGACATAATATGGGGCATTGACTATTGTTCTAAGTACTTTGGACTGGAAGGATTGGATGCGTTTGATATTTGAATGTTTAGCAGTTCCCCACAGTTCAAGTCCTTAGGTCCAGATAGGTTTCAGTATCGACTATACTAAGGGCTATTTTCAAGTCATCTATTAAGTCAACAAAGGCACGCTTAGAAGGTTTAATAGATGACTTCAAAATTGCCCTTAGTATGGTCGAAACGTCGTAATTAATAGCTTATAAATTAAAATGTTGGTGAATATTGGCCTAATTTAAGTTAAAAAATAAAACCTCAAGACACCAATTTTAGGAAAAATGAACAGAAGAAATATAACAATTTTGAGGCCACCTCGTGACCCAGCAATATATCAGCGCAGTACGGACCAATGGAAACCTTTTAAGCGTGCCTTTGTTGACTTAATAGATGACTTGAAAATGGCCCTGAGTATGGTCGAAACCATGTAATTAATAGCTTATAAATTAAAATTTTGGTGAATATTGGCCTAATTTGTGTAAAAAATAAAATATTTATCCACTCTGGATCCTTATTTCGATATATATATATATATATATTATATATATATATATATATATATATATATATATATATATATATATATATATATATTGTTATGTTTATTTACTACAACAAATTATTTTCATTTCATATTTTTTTATTAATCAATTTTATTCAATCAATCAATAATAAAATCAATGGTTTTAATTACTTACCCCACTATTAGTAGCAGCTTTCAGATCGGAATCTCCTAAAGGTATCTTATTCCTAAAATAAATTACATTGGTTTTATAAACTTAAAAAATTCAAGATCACGAGATACCAGTATCATTGTTTATTCTTTTTCGTGATGAGGGTTTCAGGCAGCCTATATTTCCATAAAATGTTATTTACCTCCTAAGGACCTGGCGATAAATTTTAGGCTGACGGAAGAGCTTAGCGCTAATGCCTTCAACGAGGAAGCGGAGAAGCTCAAGTGGCGTGGAAAGTCTCATTTGATTGATGTCCCTCAGCACCAGCGTGGATCCTCTTTATGCGCTTAATTTTCGGGATGAAGGGCCTTGTGAGGCGGTATCGTGCTTCAACAGAATCTTACAGTATTTTGATGCTCTAAAACAAAACAACATGTAGATTAAAGGTTCTCTCGAGAATAATACAGGTATCTATCTGTTTAGAAAATTCACTCTGTAAACTTTTTTTCCAGGTCTGTTTTAATAGAGTCTTGGCTTGGTCAAGGACGTAGAATCCGTGAAGTTATATTTCAGTGAGTTGTAATAAATATACACGATCATAAAATAAAACCCGGCAATGTAGGAAAATCCATGTTGGTGTTAATCGTTTAGTATAATTTACTAAAATAGTTTAAAAACCTTGAGAAATAACAACATTATGGTTAAGAAATTACCAATAAACCGAGCTTAACTTTGACCCAAGTCAAAAGTTGCTTTAACAAAGTGTGGATATAATTAGAGTGGTGATGGGCAATTACGGAATAAACTTTCGTTACTACGTGCATAGATATTTTTCTAATTGATTTGTTTTAAACTATTAATAAAAACGTCTCGTTTGTCCACTCACACGACTTTCCTACCTATTTCAGAAAAGTTTTTATGTCTTTACATATGTTCATGAAGAAACAAAAAAAAAATTGAACTAGATTTAATTTCCTGAACATTTATCAAAGAGAAATGATTTGAGTACGATCTATTTGATGAACTAAAGCAATGTAAACCGGTTTAAGGTAGATCAGTGTAAAAATTTCAATTCTCTCTAATATTCCTGTTCAAAAACTTTTTGCCATAGCCTAATTTTGTCAAACAATAATTTCTTTTAAAGGTAGAGGTAATAGTGACGCTTGTGTGATGCAGGAAACAGATTTTCTTACTTTCACTAAGTTTCTTTCTTTTCTCATTCATCACTTTCAGACACCAGGATATGTACCCGTAATCTTTCAAAAGTTTTATTATAAATTTTACCATAGAATATATAGTTAACGAGTTAGGTCCTAAAACATTTTTCTTTATAACTTTTTTTCCTATTAATCCGGGAATTTAGTCCATGTAGAATTACGTTTATTAGTGTGAATAGCACGAAGTTTTTATATCTTTACATATTTCCATCAAGAAACAAAAAAAAATTGATCAAAGAAAAGATTTGAGTACGATTTATTTGATAAACTAAAGTAATGTAAACCGGCTTAGGGTAGATCAGTGTAAAAAATTCAATACTATCTAATATTGCTGATCAAAAACTTTTTGCCATAGCTTAGTATTGTCAAACAATAATTTCTGTTAAACGTAGAGGAAATAGTAAAGCTTGTGTGATAAGGGAAACAAATTTTCTTACTTTTACTTAGTCATCTTTTTTCACTCAATCACCCCTTTCTGACACCAGGATATAAACCCTTAATATTACATTGGAAATTGAATAGCTGTAACTTAGTTAATAGTCGTCCAAAATGAACGATTTTTATATAGTTTTGTCGGGAATTTCATTACCTTTCAAAATCAGGCGACGGGGTTGACAATCTTGAGACAGACCAATGGCTAAAAATGTGTTTTTCGGACTCAAGGAGCGTATAGATCCGTCGAAAACCGCATATCGGAAATTATACCCGATTTCAATACTTTCCTTACCTAGTATAGGTAGGAAAGTAATAAAACATGATCATAAAAAAAAAATAAACCAAAAACAACGCAGGATATTTGTTTTGATCATTTTTATTTCCGTAAAAACATTATCGAAAATAAATTTATTATGAAAATATGTTGTTTATTTTGTATTCATGCAGGAAAAAATAAACACTATCGTTATCCAAAACTGAAATCGAAAAATTCCTAGTACGTTTTACGTTATAGGAAAAAATTTGGTTCGGTGTTTCTCTATTGTCAAATACGTGTGATAGTCATAACACTTTTGATAAAATTCGCAAAGATTGTGCTTGTTTATGTAGCATAGGATACCTAGACGGACTTATATCAATTTCATCAAAATTCATCGTCTACTTTTGCGTATGGGCCAACGTACAAGTATTTTCCTTGGCACTTATTTCGATGTCTTCTCTGTTTCGGCCCATGTATAGGGAATATTTGGATATTAGTGTAAAAAAGTTCCAGTATCAATTTAATTAATTTCCATGTACTACTATCGCTTATCTATGCTCAAAAGTATTTTCCTTGACAAGCAGATTTTTCAAAATCTGCTCATCCTGTTAGGAATGGGAGACTAGTCCAGTATGTGTGTCTATATATATATTAGTGTTTGTGTTTGAAAATTGACGAAATAAACAATTCAAAAATAAAATTGATTGTAGTTCATTTGCCTATTGGTCAGAAATAAATGAACCAAAAATTAGTATTTGAATAATTTATTTCTGATCCATAGGCTAATAAACCACTATAAAAAGAACGGAGGTCAAATCAGAATAATGAAAAATAAAATTTATCGTTGCTTGCACATTTGTTTCTCGAATTTGATTTTTTTTTTTTTTTTTTATTCAATAGAAATTAGTCCGTGGTACATACCTCTTTTTAGCGAATTATTATCATCCGCCTGAAATAATTAATTCATAAATAATTTCATCTCAATGTAACCTACAACTATTTTATTTACGAAAACTCTTGGAATTGGGGCGTTTTCAATTTGGAGGAAGCCAAACTTTCTTTATTTAATTAGGTACTAAAAACTCGTAAATGCTTATTTTCTTTTTACTTTGATCGTAAGATAATTTTATCTCAAAGTCGAGAAAAAAATATGGCTTTCAAAAATATTGAGCCGTTCGGCGTGACCTACACCCCCAAATATTCAAAATAACGAGGTTATATATGACAATCGGCCCAAATTTTTTTAGGCCACCTTTTCTATTTATTTTGTGATCAAATTATCTTACGATCCAAGTAGAAAACAAATGTGTATTTACGAGTTTTTAATACCTAATTAAATAGACAAAGATTCCTCCTCCCCCCCCTCCCAACAGATTGAAAACGCCTCAATTTCAAGAGTTTTCGTATATAAAATAGTTGTAGGATACGATGAGATGAAACTATTTACGAAGTTTGAGGCGGATGTTAATAATTCGATAAATATTATGAAAACTGTACTGGTGTTTTCTTAATCAAGAAAATGTTCCAACGGTGTGTATGAATGGTTTAAACAAGGGTCTGTTAAATGATAACTGACTGCTATGGTAAGGTAAAATGCAGAATTTGTCTTGAAATTTGTATTATTCGTTTTAAAGAGCGGATAGTAAAATTTTGGGTGGTAAAACATTAGTTTTTAAATTAAAGCAATGGCGTTTGTAATGCTCTTCGATGTTTCATCCTTAGTGCCATTCTTACAAGGTGCATTAAATATTTAACAGATGCTTTAACGGAGTGTGGGTTCAATTTACATTCATACATCTCGTTTGTGACTGTAAATTGAACCCACTTCCTCTTGAATGAAGCCTGTTAAATATTTCAACGCATATCTGTAAGCACGGTTTTAAGGATATGAGTTGTTTTTGATCTTTGCTGTTAGAGAAATTGGTACTAAGATGGTTCTCTGGAGTTCAGAAACTCCTTGGAGGAGGAAAAAAATATATATATATGCATTGCTATATTTTGTTCAGTAAACTGTGGGTTTTAAGAAAGTTTAGTACTGCTCTTATGTTTGATTCATTATTGTTTATTATTATCTGGTCTGTAAAATAATCTATTTAAGATTAAGGTGTAATAAGGGCATTCTTGGAACATATGATTTTTATTGAGAGGGCTTTTTCAGTGTTGGCTGTTTATTGGTAAGATATGAACGAGTATGACCTGTGTATGTGTATAATCTGTTCTTAACCTTACGACGATCTCCTCTGCGATGGTACGGTTCGATTTGTTCCAGCGCCTTACTGTTTTTTTTAAGATCTTTTAGTATGGTTTGCGGACTCGTTCCACATGGACTGCCAGCTATTCGTTATCACATTTTTGAGAGGTAAACTAATTTGATTTCTAAAATATTCTTTACGTATTTGTCCAAGTATCACAATTCACGAAAACTGATTTAAGGGACACATCATCGTTGTCAAAAAGTAGATTTTTAGTTGCGTCTAAATAATTTTTTGCTACATCGATTCTGAGACAAGTTCACGGCCCATTGACCGTAGCATCTTCTATTATTACTGAGCTAAATGTAGGCTGGTACAATAGCGGGAGTGCTTCAGATCAATAGCCTATTTACTTATGAAATAGTAATTTTGTTTTTAAGATACCTCATTTTTCAGGTAGTGAAGGACCGGAAAGTGATTCAAGGATAAAAATATAGATTAAATTAATATCATTATAATAAATAAGAACTGGGTGATAAATATTCAGGACGCAATCAATATAAAGTTTTTATTAGTGCCGACGTTTCCAGTACTTGAATACCTTTGAATTGTGTACTTATCCTTATAGCCCTGGAACCAGGGTCCAAAAATCGACCTGATCGCAGGCGAATGTTTGATTGTAAATTACGAAAGTGTATGTTATTCTGCGTAAAAAGAACCTTATCTGCCGTTCCGGAGCCCCTGCTTTCAAATATGGCGGCTGATTTAAAGAATATTAGGCCAATGATTTGAGGATCGAAACGAGAATACCATTGCGAAAAATGTGAGAAAAGTTTTTATTTTTTTAACTTGTACATATGAGTTAAGACATGTAAAAAACAAAATTGCTAAAGCAGGCCACCAAGAAAAAACTTTTTACAGCCAAAAAAGTTAGATTTTTTCGATATTTTTTGGGTTTTCCATCTATAACTCCTAAACGATGCATCAAAGCGAAAAATGTATTCTTTAATAAATTAAAGAACATTAAATTTTGAGTCAAACGAATACACAAACTTTAAAATTTGGTTACGCGGTAAGGTATAAAACCACGGTCAACCAACGTTGAGTTTTATCAAATTTGTCAAAAACTGAGAACGTTGGTTGCCGTTGTTATATACCTTACCACGTTATCATATTATAAAGTTTATGTACTCGTTTGAC